ATGGAAAAAAATGCCTCATTCAGAGGGAGGAGAAGGCAGATCTTCACTAGTATCAGCTGGTGGTCTTCTGTGTGTCAGACTTTTCATCTTAGACCTGAACACAGATTTAGTATTAGTACCCTGTTTGGACTAATTTAACACCACAAATCTATTAACAATTTTTCCTTTAAACTGGGGGGGGGGGGGGTTAAGTACCATGTTTTCAGGAATTGGGCAAATAGTTACCAGAGTGGTAAGTACCCTTGGGTCCCAGGCCAGTAGGCACAAACTCTGGTGCCTCCAGGGCCAGGTAGTGGTGCCACACATGAAGTGAAATGGGAATGATGCAGATGTCAACCTGCTGCAGTCACTCTGCAAAACTGGAGTGCCCGTTCCCTTCCCAAGAGCAGCCATGACTAAATGCCATTCACGTGGCAATAGGTGATCCAGTGGTACCCGATCTCAGTTTTTTTAAAAAAAAAAAAGCCCAAAGTTTGAATACTTATGTGAAATTCCTAATTCTGAAATAATTAAAAATGTATAAAACTAGGCAAGGCCAAACAAAATCACTTGAGAATGCTGAGCATTTGCTTTAGGCTGGGGAACACAGTTATTTCAAAAGGCCAGGCGGAAGGCTACTTCAAAAACTTGGGTGGGCCTGCCTTCATCAAGGGGTGCAAGATGTTGCCCTCATAAACCAGACCTAGAGTCTCAGTGGCTCCTGTAGGAAGTCATAAGTGAATGCCAGGAGTCCTGAGATGGCAGATGTGCCACTGAGGCACACTTTTGAGGCACTGCACATATCTGACTATGCTCCAGTCCCGAGGTGGCAAGGGTATTCCCTGAGACTATGGCAGTACAAGCCAGGTCAGGTGGGAGGGTCATGCACCACAGTCCATGGTGCATCACTGGGGCAGGCGGACTCTGAGGAACCCTCAGGAACTGACCTCCCAATATCCTAGCAGATACTCAGAGCTACTCCATAGAAAATGCACCTGAATGAGAACTTGTGTGTTTCCTTCGGAACTGCACAAAACTCATGCTGAAATGAGGCTGGAAGGGATGCCTTCCATTTGGTATTCTCCAAACCAAACACTAGATGGGATCTGTAGCGAGTCACTATGGTGTATTTCCTCTGACTTGGCCTGTTTTTTTTTTTTTGAGTTGGAGCCTCACTCTGTCGCCCAGACTGGAGTGCAGTGGCCGCTCCCGGTCACCGCAGCCTCAACCTGCTGGGCTCCGGTGATCCTTCTGCCTCAACCTTCCGAGTAGCTGGAACTACAGGCACGTGCTACCACGCCCGGTTAATTTTGATTTACTGTAGAGGTGAGGTCTCGCCAAGTTGCCCAGGCAGGTCTCGAACCCTCGGCCTCAGGCAATCCACTCACCTCAGCCTCCCAAAGGTGCGGGATTACAGGCTGAGCCACCGAGCCCGGCTGGCCTGTTCTGAACTCAGTCCCTCAAAGGCCTCAGAAACTTGGAAAGTCCCAGATGATTTAGGGTTTTTCCTGGGTGAGATTGGACTGATTTTGTAGTTTATTACCGACCACTTTGTCTTTGAAATCTTATGTCTGGGAAATAGATCCCTCTTTTCTTCATTTTGTGACATCCATCCATCTATCCATTCATCCATTCAATATAAGTCTAGTGAGCGTCTACAATATGCCAGATGCTGTGCTAGGAGATAGGGACAGAAATAGTGACCCAGACACACAGTTTCTGCCCTGATAAAGCTTGCAGTCAGGTGGAGAGTCATATTAAGTACTCCCACACATTGTAATAATTATATTCAGGATGAAGACCATGTATCAGGCACCTCTCTTGCACCTTTCTTACATCCTCTAGCCCTACCTCTTATCCAACCACTGCTGTGGCCACCAGTTCCAGACAGGCTAGCCAACTGCTCAGAGGTGCCATTTGTGAGCACCTGTCCTCAGTCTAGGGCTGCTTCTCGCTTGCTGTCCTGGGGCTTCTGGGATGTTGAGGTATGGTTGCCTGCTCAGAACTCACAATTATTCAGCCCGGAGGTGGGGGTGGTGGTAGATGAATATACCAGGGGCCACCTTTATTCATTTGGGAATTAAGGTTAATAAACTAAGGTCTCCTGCTTTTTATACCATGGTAGGTAGTTCTGAGATAATTTTTATTTGGCTTCTCAAAATGTCCCAGCAGAGCCAGGCTCGGTGGCTCAGCCTGCAATCCCTTGCTTTGGGAGGCTGAGGTGAGTGGATTGCCTGAGCCCAATGGGTTCGAGACCCATCTGGGCAACTTGGCGAGACCTCATCTCTACAATAAATCAAAAAATTAGCCGGGTTTGGTGGCTCAGCCTGTAATCCTGCGCTTTGGGAGGCTAAGGTGAGTGAATTGCCTGAGCTCATGGGTTCGAGACCCACTTGGGCAACTTGGAGAGACCTCATCTCTACAATAAATCAGAAAACTTAGCCGGACATGGTAGCGTCCACCTGTAGTTCTGGCTACTTGGAAGGCGAAGGCGGAAGGATCGCCGGAGTCCTGTAGGTCAAGGCTGCGGTGGCCGGGAGCAGCCACTGCACTCCAGTATGGGCGACAGAGTTGGACTCCAACTCAAAAAAAAAAAAAAAAAAAGTCCCAGCAGGAGTCAGTTGCCTACAGCAGTAGCCAAGACTGGCTTTCCGTCTTCTCTGTTTCATTTCCCCAGTTTCCCATTTCTGCTTTTGAGATTAATCCCCAAATAGACTACCTTCGTGTAAGCCTTTCTCAGGCTCTGCTTTCAAGGATCCCAGGCATTAGAGTAGTATAAGTGTGTGAGTGTGAGAGAGAAAGAGAGAGAGAAAGAGAGTGTATGTGTGTGTAACAAGGGAACAAACTTGATCAGGATTGTAAGGGAATAATGCTTTACCTGCCCTGCTAGACATTTTTGGTTGTCTATCGAATGAATAGTCATTTCCCCCTTCTGCCCAGCTAGTAGAATCCAAATTTACTCAAGTATCTATCCTTCAGGGAAGCTTAATGATAGTTTCTATTTGATCTAAAACAATTATGAAAATACCATTTTATTTACCAATGATTATACACGAGGTGAACATATGACCCAACTTGGGCCTGTGATACATAAGAGGAGGTCTCCTGGGGGATTCTAGAAATTTGCTTCTTATACTCCAAAGGCAAGAAATAGATTTGCTGTGTTTAGATGTGATTCCTAGAACTGTGTCAAGTATCTTGAGGTCATGAGAGCGCCTGGCCTAACAACAAGGTCTCTACACTAAGATGGCATGGCATAAAGTTAGGAAGATCTTGTGGTTTTGATGACATTGCTGGGTCACTGATTTGACTAGCAATTTTTCTTATTGTTTGATTTGCAGCTGATTTTACTGTTTATTGTTTTATATCCTTATTATTTATTTTGAACTGAGTGTTTAGTTACTAAGAAAGAGCCCTCTTCCCTGGCAGGTGAATGCTTGATGCTGCACGTAAAAACATCAGACCTGAAACACTTGCCTGGAGGTAGGAACAGGGATCAGATTTTCTCTGAGGATACCAAATGACTATTTCTAAGAGATACAATTCTCTGAGTCCTTCTCTGAAGGACTTTATTTTTCTGATGGCTCTTCTAATGTTGCTTTGGCCCAGAAGGAGTTGCAAATAATAAATAGCTAAAAGAAGAAAAAGAGTTGGCTTTACCAAAAGCACGAGGGGTAGGCTGTGAACTTACAAAAAAAGGAGAAATGGACCTATGAGAACCTCTAGAGGTTGAGGGCAAGTTTCCACCTGGAGATCAAAATAGCACACTAATACCTCACTAGCGACAAGCATACCTGATGCCTAGATGTTGGTTTCTAAGGTCATTCTCCAATAAAAGGAACCAAGGATCCTTGGAGACATGAACAATTCTAGAATGGGGGGGGAATGTACAAGATAAACCTGGAGCACCCTGTAGAGTCAGAAAGTAAGGACATCCTAAGACAAAAAAAAAAAGGAAAACCTTACAGTGAAGAGAGTGTGTCAGCGGGAAATAGGTGCCAACTGAAAGCTCTCCCCACTACCAACTGGAATAATTCAAGCAACCAAATAAAGTAGTATTTGGATTATAACACTCAAAATAAAATATAAACACCCAAGATTTTCATATGACATAAATAAATGATTAAATAAATAAACAAGGTAGAATAGACAAATCTCCCAAGCAGGAAAAATTATATATAGTCTATGAACATACCTGGCCTCAGGAAGAGAGAATGTGACTCTCTGTTTCCTTATGTGGGGGCTGTGTACAGTGACTTCTTCCCAAAGAGTACAGTACAGAAAGAGGGGAAAAGTGTGACTCCACAGTGGGGGAAACTTACAGACTGGACCTTAACCAGGTGCTTAAGACGAAAAGCAGGAGGGACAAGTCATGTTGGGACTGTGTGTCCTTGATACAATATGACAAAAATGGCAACTGTGGAATCTGTGATTTTCTTCCCAAAACCCATAACCACAGTCTAGCCATGAGAAAAGCATCAAACACATCCTGATAAACGGAAATTCTACCTGATCAGTGTTCCTCAAAATGACTGTTAAGGTTGTTAAAAACCAGGAAAGTCTGAGAGACTGCCACAGCCCAGAGGAGCCTAAAGAGACATGACAATGTGGTATGGCACCCAGGATGGAATCCTGAGACAGAAGGACATTAGGTCAAAACTTAAGGAAATTATGGACTTTAGTAAGTGGTGAAGCTGTGTTGATACTGGGTCATTAATTCTAACAAATATACCACACTAATATAAGATGTATATTATATATAGGAGAAACTGGGCATATGGTATACAAGGACTCTGTTCTATTTCCACGATTTTAAGTTTTTCTGTAGGTTTCTCTGAAAAATAAAGTTTATCAAAAAAGAAAAAATAACACCCTGACCCATACTAGCAAATACTAATAGTCCACACACTGTGAACCCTGGTCTCCAGTGTACGATTTCTCAAATAGCTTTCTTGGTTAAAAGGGCAGTGATGTAAAAACATAGACATCTTTTTGCCTAAGGGCCATCAAATGGCTGTCATATGGCAAAAGTCTTCTTTCTGGACTTTCTGGCTGAATGCATCCATGATCTTCGGATATTTGTTAGGGAGTATTTTACCTTCAAAGAAGAGGTCCACGGATTATGTCTGTCTAAATAATGCGACAAATTTAACAGTTTCAAGTGACAGCAATTAATGCACATTATAAATATATAACTCAGTTCATATCATCAAACCAAATTGTATTCATTATTCATTCAATGAGTATATAAGGATTGCCTACTATTGGTCAGAAAATATTTAAACCATGTACCTTTGATTTTCACAACCGGGCTGTGTAGGAATTGCTTTTGGAACTGATTCATTCTAAGCTCTTATAAATGTGTAGCTTGAATTAGATCCGTGGTGCAGTGTGCTTCTGGCTAAAAAGGCAATCTGTAAATAATAGTGATACAATAAAGGCAAGATACTACCCTTGGAGATGCTGTTAACTTAATTACATGTTGGGTTCTGTTTACTTCCTATGTAAAATCCAGACTTCGCTGGATGATTTGTTCAAAGTCTTGAACAAGAGGTTTGCAAAGTCTTTTGATAACCACCTCTTGGCTGCTGATGCAGTTGTTGGTGCATACCTCAGCCACTCATCATGTCTTCAAAGCGAGGGCTAAATAGTCTTTATCTTTGTATCTCCCACATAAATACCAAAGGGCTTGCAAATAGATGCTCAATACAATTTGGTGAATGAATTAAGCAAGGTTCACCTCTGCTGCTCCTACGACTTACAAGGAGGCTTCATTAGAATCACAGCATACTCAGGAGGCTCCATCTCGTTTAATGCTTCCTTTCTACCTACAAGCATCAATGGTAAAATTTGGAAGGCTTTTGTTCTTTCAGTTTAATCAATTTATGGATTTTAATGTACTGTATGTTTTGTATTTTAATGTACTATTTTCATATCAGTCCGTGAATAATTAGGAGTCATTTCTTTCTTCAACAAGTGTCGCTGGACCCCTGCCCCGTGAAGATGCCTGCCGTCCGCCGGGCCCGCAGTTACTGCCGCGGCCTGGTGCGCTTCTTCGACGAGAACTCTGCTAAGCCCCGCTCTGCGGCAGACAGGCAGGAGTAGACACCCGGACACCCAGCTCCCCTCCTCCGGGGGGCGGTGGGGAGGGGGCGCGGGAGCCCCTCGACCACGGCGGGCCGCCCCACCAGCAGGGCAGAAACTGAGGAAGACTGTCATTCCGATACTGTCAGAGCAGATGATGATGATGAAAATGAAGTCCTGTTGAAACAGATCTTCAGGCACAACTACAGATGTTCCGAGCTCAGTGGATGTTTGAACTCGCCCCGGGTGGAGGCTCTAGCAACTGAGAAAACCGACCTTGCAGAGCCACCAGAGGCTCTCAACAGAAAGCAGCAACAGATACCAAAGGAAAACAAGAGCAGGCAAAAGAAGAAAAGGCTCGAGAACTCTTCCTAAAAGCAGTTGAAGAAGAACAAAATGGAGCTCTCTACGAAGCCATCAAGTTTTATCATAGGGCTATGCAACTTGTACCTGATATAGAGTTCAAGATTACTTATACCCGGTCTCCTGATGGTGAGGACATTGGAAACAGTTACCTTGAAGATAATGATGATGACAGCAAGATGGCAGATCTCTTGTCCTGCTTCCAGCAGCAGCTCATGTTCCAGGAATCTGCGCTCAAACTGTGTCAGCCTGAGCTTGAGAGCAGTCAGGCTCACATATCAGTGCTGCCAATGGAGGTCCTGATGTACATCTTCTGGTGGGTGGTATCCAGTGACTTGGACCTCAGATCATTAGAGCAGTTGTCCCAGGTGTGCAGAGGATTCTACATCTGTGCCAGAGACCCTGAGATATGGTGTCTGGCCTGCTTGAAAGTTTGGGGTAGAAGCTGTATTAAACTTGTTCCGTACACATCATGGAGAGATGTTTTTATTTTTATTTATTTTTATTTATTTTTTGAGTTGGAGTCTCACTCTGTCACCCAGACTGGAGTGCAGCAGCCGCTCCCGGCCACCGCAGCCTCTACCTGCTGGGCTCTGGCGACCCATCCACCTCAGCCTTCCAAGTAGCTGGAACTACAGGCATGCACTACCACGCCTGGCTAGTTTGAGAGATGTTTTTAGAATGGCCTCGTGTTTGGTTTGATGGAATGCTGGAGTCCATCTCCAGCAGGTTCAGGGTTTCCCAAAGGATGAGTGCTGTCGGCAAAGGAGTGGACACAGACCCAGTGCTTGTGTGGGACTGCTCATTTATTGTTGACCAATCTACTGTATATATAGTTTTTTTGTTACACTAGCTTTTGCATAGCACACACAGAAATTTTTACATTTTTCCAAATTTTGTCTTGGTTTCTTAAAATCAGATAATAGCTTTCCATGACATCATAAAGCACAGGTAAAAAAAGCCTTATTGTACTTATGGTTATTTATGAACTTTTTAAACCTAGTTATACAAAAGCCATGAAGCAACCGCAAAAATCAGGCAGGTAATCTACTTTTAATACTAGTCCAAAACCATTCTCTGGAACACAACATTTCTCAGGGTCCTGCCAGTAAAGCTGGCACAATAATTTATAATTATTAGGCCACTGGCAGCAACCACATATCTCTCTGACTCACCTCCAATCTGAGGGAACAAATAATTCTAGTTTTCCTTTAATAACACATGATATTTAAAGTTTTTATTTACTACTCCCTGGCAGGGGAAGTGGTCTCCTATTCTTGCATTAGCAGGCTGGCCTCCAGGACCCCTGTAATGTCATTTGGAGCAATATTGTATCATTTTATTTGGGGTCCCTTTAAGGGGGGAATGTTTCAGTCCCGGAAAGTTGCATGGTGGCAGCACAGAGACTTCTGTGATTTTTGGTAATGAGTAACTTATTATTATTCCCTGATGTCCCTTTCCCCTGGAATCTTTTTTCTGTGGTTGTTTAGTGAGTTGTGGTTTCCCAGCCCCTAGGATTCCCATCGGCAACATAACTAAGCAGAGCAGGAGAAGCAGAGCCGTCGTCTTCCCAGACTTGCCGTGCAGTCTGGGGTCGTCAGTCTCCTTGACTATGTCAGAAGGCAGACCTCTAGGGGCGGCTCCCAACAATGGAGTATATATCAGTAAAACTACATACATTTCTCAAGGGGAACAGTCTCTTGATGGTTTCTATAGAGCCTGGCACCAAGTGGAATATTACAGATACATAAAGTTCTTTCCTGATGGCCATGTGATGATGCTGATGACCCCTGAAGAGCCTCAGACCATCGTTCCCACTTAAGCACAAGGAATGCCAGAACTGACGCCATTCTACTGGGTCATTATCGCTTGTCACAAGATACAATCAGACCAAAGTATTTGCCATAATAACTAAGAAAAAAGAAGAAAAACCACATGTCTACAAATATAGATATTTTTGTTGTGTCCCTGTACAAGAAGCAGATCAGAGTTTTCATGTGGAGCTACAGCTATGATCCAGTGTCCACCAGAGGTTCAACAAACTCATCTGGATACATTATTCTTGTCATATCACTTACAAATCAACTGGTGAGACTGCAGTCAGTGCTTTTGAGATCAACAAGATGTCTACCCCCTTGTTCTTCACCAGAGTCAGGAGCTACACAGCATTCTCAGAAAGGCATCTGTAGACCCATTGTCCAGCCCTCTGTCACTCTTGCATGAATTAAAGTATATAGTGCAAAAGAACACCTAAGTTATAAATGTACATATATATGGAATTGGAACTCATTTTAAATTGTTGGAGTACCTTTTTAAGAAGAGTAGGCCAGGTTTGGTGGCTCAGCTTGTAATCCCGCGGTTTGGAAGGCTAAGATGAGTGGATTGCCTGAGGTCGCAGGTTCGAGACCCACCTGGGCAACTTGGTGAGACCTCATCTCTACAATAAATAAAAATTAGCCAGGCATGGTAGCACATGCCTGTAGTTCTGGCTACTTGGAAGGCTGAGGTGGAAGGATCGCTAGAGCCCAGCAGGTCGAGGCTGCGGTGGCTGGGAGTGTGCCACTGCACTCCAGTCTGAGTGACAGAGTGAGACTCCAACTCAAAACAAAAATTGATACGATTATTTTTATTTAGTGCAAACTTATACAGCCTCTTTGCCAAACAGTGTAGTGATTTCTGAAAGAAGTAGAAATTTACCTTCCATATGACTCAGCAATTCCCCTATTGAGAATATACCCACAGGAACTCAAATTATTCTACAAAGAGGATACATGCACACGTATGTTTTTCGCAGCTCTATTGACAACAATAAAAACATGAAACCAACCATCCTGCTCATCGAAACTGAACTGTTTAAAAAAAATGTGGTACGTATACACAATGAAATTTTATGTAGCCATAAAGAAGGACAAATATATGGACTTTGCAGCAACCTGGATGGATTTGGAGTTGCTCATACTCAGTGATTTATCCCAGAAACAAAGAACATAGTTCCATATGTTCTCACTCATACGAGGACCTTAACCAGTTATAATGCTATAAGCACGTGATTGGCAGTAGTGGGAAACTGTCAGGGGAGGGGATGTGGGATTGACAGTTTAGGGGAGCTGCTAAGGCAGGGAGGGGTATACCTCATCAACAAGGGTACCTGTGCAATCAATGTTTATATACCTAACCCTGAATTAATTGTACCCCACATCTTTATAATAACAATTATTTTTAAAGTACAAGAGCAAGGAAAAACTTAATTAACTTAAAAAAAAAAAACCTGAGTATGGAGAAGACCTTCCTAAGCATGAAACAAACCTAGATATCAAAATAGGATGATAGATATGTATGTTGACATAATATTTCAAAATTTGAGTTCTGAAAGCCAAAGGATAAAATGAAAATTACATTTACAACACAAAAGACAAGAAAGAGTTAATAATGTTTTATGTCAGTAAGTAAAGTATAAATGACTAAGGCAATGAACAGAAAAAAATACATTCAACTGGCTAAGAGTCTAAAGGATGATGCTTAATTTTATTTATAATTAGAGGAATGCCAATTAAACAATAATCCATTTTCTACCTGTGGCGTTTACATTTATGATAAGAGCAGTACTTTGTTTGAATGAGTAGGGTACAGACACACTCTCATACTGTTGGTAGAACCATAAATTTATTCAGTTTTTGGAGGGCAAGTCAGCAACATATACCAAAATTTTAAATAACCATACTGTTTGACCCAACTTTTAAAATTTTACCCTCAGCTGCATTTGCATAAATGTACACAAGTGATCAATTTCAGATTGTTTTTTACTCATAGTAAAAACTAAAAACAATCTATATGTCCACTGAAAGGGAACTGGTTATTTAACTCAACCCAAGGTCCATACAGCTATTTGACTACTATACAGCTGTTAAAGAATAAGACAATAATTTATTTATAGTATTATGTAAATATGTTCAATATGTATATACTACTAAGGGCAAAAACAAAGCTATATAAAAACTAAATAACACCAAAATAATATTTATGTGAAAAATACCCATAACATATATATCTATATCTATATCTATATATCTCTCTCTCTCTCTATATATATAGATATATTAAAAAATACTAAGGTTTATAAGAAGCTTATTAGGGTATATCTGGAAGGTAAGCTTTTGCTTTTGTCCATACACTCCTTCTATGCTACTTGATTAACATACATTTGCTAGTGTCTGGTTAGATACAAATCTGTATGTGCTTGAATGTTGTACTTGCCTGATCTGTCCTTTCTCTAGAAGTTCCACTTCTCTCTTGTTGCCCTGATTTGTCTCAAATCATAAAAGACATCTATACAATTTGGCAAAATTAAGTTATCAAAATTTTTTCTTACATCGATTGCAAGCTCCAAGTTAGATTCTTTGCACATTGTTTCAAGCAGTCTAGAGGAAAATTGTACTATAGCAGGAAGTAGTGATAACATTCTACAATGGTAGAAAAGCAAAGAAAATGTATCTTTCTAGTAAACTTGATCACCAAAGGCACAGTAAGCAGGACCTTTTTAGTTTTGCCCCTGTATATATGTTATACTTATGACTTATATTTGTGCTTGGGAATACATTTTAAAGAGCTACTGTTTGTTGTGTTCATAATGTCCCTTGCAGGTATACAAATGCAATGTGTTCCTTTTAGAATTTTTTGCTAGAAATAGTTTATTGGTCACAGAATTCACTTCAGTTTTTTTTTTTGTTTGTTTTTAAATCAATATTTTTTATTATGATGTTGTGGGGTACAGTTGAGGGTTAGGTATACAAATATGCTTCATTTAGGCCCCCTTGTTGATAACAGGTGTCTCCCCATCCCCAGGCAGATGTTTACTACCATTAGTCCCATCCCCCTTCCCATAGTTACCCCCACAACATAGTTTCCCCCACCACTGTCAGGCATTTTCTTATGGGAGTGCGTTGGATGATCAAGGTCCACTATATGAGTGAGAACATGTGATACTCAGATCTTTGTTTCTGTGAGAGGTCACTCAGTATTACAGACTCTAGTTCCATCCAGGTTGCTGCGAAATTCATGATTTTGTTCTTTTTTATGGCTGCACAGTATTTCATCGTGTAAATGTACCACATTTTTTTAATCCGGTCCTCTTTTGATGGACAACATGGTTGGTTCCAGGTTCTTGCTATTGTGAACAATGCTGCGATAAACATTCGTGTGCAGGTATCTTTTTTATAGAGTGATTTGAGTTCTTCAGGGTATTTTCCCAGTAGGGGGATTGCAGGGTCATATGGGAGGTTGATGTTTAGAGCTTTTAGGAATCGCCACACTGCTTTCCACAGAGGTTGCATTAGTTTACACTCCTACTAACAGTGTAGGAGTGTTCCCTTTTCACCACACCCTCTCCAACAACTGTTATTTTTTGAGTTATTGATAATTGCCATTCTGACTGGAGTTAGGTAGTATCTCAGTGTGGTTTTGATTTGCATCTCCCTGATGATTAGTGAGGTTGAGCATTTCTTCATGTGTCTGTTGGTTGCTCGAATGTCTTCCTTTGTGAAGTGTCTGTTCATTTCTTTTGCCCATTTTATAATGGAGTTGTTTGTTTTTTCTTTTCAGCACGTTTGAGTTCCTTGTAGATCTAAGATGTTAAGCCTTTGTCAGACCTGGAGTTGGCAAATACTTTTTCCCAGTCTAGAGGCTGTCTCCCTGCTCTCTTGATGGTTTCTTTGGCTTTGCAGAAGCTTGTCAGTTTAATGAGGTCCCACTTGTCTATCTTATCCCTTATGGCCTGTGGGTTTTGGGTTTTGTTCAGGAATTGGATGCCAGTTCCAATTTCCACGAGGGTATGTCCTTCATTTTCTAAGGTTCTTATGGTTTGAGGTTTTACATTTAGCTCTCTGATCCATTTGGAGTTAATTTTTGTATATGGGGATAGGTAGGGGTCCTGTTTAAATCTTCTGCATGTGGTCAGCCAGTTTTCCCAGGACCATTTACTGAATAGGTTCTCCTCTCCCCAGTGGTAGGTGGTGGTGGAGGCTTTGTTGAAGATGAGTTGCTTGAGAAATTGAGGTTTTGCTTCTGGAATCTCAATTCTATTCCATTGATCTATATGCCTGTTCCTATACCAATACCAAGCTGTTTTGATGATTGCAGCTTTATAGTAAAGTTTGAAGTCTGGTAATGTGATACCACCTGCTTTGTTTTTTTTTTGCTGAGGATTGTTCTGGCAGTTCTTGGTTGTTTGTGTTTCCATAGGAATTCCTGTGTTGTTTTTTCTAGGTCTGAGAAGAATGTTGCTGGTAATTTGATAGGTATTGCATTGAATCTTTAGATAGTCTTAGGTAAGATGGACATCTTCACAATGTTGATTCTTCCAATTCATGAATATGGGATATTTTTCCACTTGTTTGTGTCATCTTTGATTTCTTTGAGCAGTGTTTTGTAGTTGTCATTGTAAAGGTCTTTCATGTCTCTGGTTAGGAAGATGCCAAGGTATTTCATTTTTTTGGTGTGGCTATTGTGAATGGAATTATGGTTCTTATTTGGGTTTCTGTTTTTTTATTATTGGTGTAAAGAAATGCAATTATCTTTTGCACATTTATTTTATATCCTGAGACTTTGCCAAAGGCCTTTATCAGTGTAAGGAGATTTTTGACAGATTATCTTGGGTTTTCAAGATACATGATCATGTCATCTGCAAAGAGAGATAATTTGACTTCCTCTTTTCCTATTTGGTTACCCCTGATTGCCTTCTCTTCTCTGATTGCTCTAGCCAGGACTTCCAATACTATATTGAACAGGAGGGGTAAGAGTGGGCATCCTTGTCTTGTTCCAGTTTTCAGGAGAAATGGTTCCAATTTTTGTCCGTTTAGGAGTATGCTGGCTGTGAGCTTCTTGTAGATGGCTTTTACTACTTTGAGGCATGTTCCCTGTATGCCTAGATATTCAAGGGTTTTTATCAAGAAGAGGTGCTGGATTTTATCAAAAGCTTTTCCTGTATCTAATTATATAATCGTGTGGTTTTTGTTTTGACATCTGTTGATGTATTTAATTACATTTATGGTTTTATGAGTGTTGAACCAACCTTGCATCCCAGGGATGAAGCCTACTTGGTTATGAAGGATTATTTTTGAGATGTGTTGTTGAATCCGGTTTACTAGGATCTTGTTGAGAATTTTAGCATTGATGTTCATCAAAGATATTGGCC